TTAGACTCAACCCTTCCAAGACTGAATGGTTATGGATGCTGGCATCCCGGGATCTGGAGGTTCCATCTTTAGTGATCGGAGGAGAGACTCTTGCTCCCTCCGATAGGGTCCGCAACTTGGGTGTCCTCCTAGATTCTCGGCTGTCCTTGGATGACCATCTGATGGCTGTAACCAGGGGGGCCTTCGCACAGGTACGTCTTGTGTGCCAGTTGCGCCCTTTTCTAGACCGGGATGCCCTCGCCACGGTCACTCACGCCCTCGTTACCTCTAGGTTGGACTACTGTAACACCCTCTACATGGGGTTGCCCTTGGGATGCGTCTGGAGACTCCAGCTAGTCCAGAATGCAGCCACGCGGGTAGTTACAGGACGCCCAGATACTCCCGTGTAACACCTCTTCTGCGTGAGCTGCACTGGCTGCCGGTGGCGTTCCGGATTCATTTCAAGATGCTGGTGCTTACCTATAAAACCCTTCATTGCTTAGGCCCGGGGTACTTGCAGGACCATCTCCAGCCGTTCTCCCATCATCCTGTGCGCTCTCACAGAGTGGGCCTCCTCAGGGTACCGTTGGCCAAACAATGTCGGCTGACATTGGCCCCCAGGAGGAGAGCGTTCTCTGTGGGAGCCCCAACCCTCTGGAATAGATTGCCCACCAAGCTCAGGACAGCCCCCGACCTTCTTTCCTTCCGTCGCGAGCTGAAGATGTGGCTCTTCCGTCAACTTAACTGATCCATTTGGGGGTACACTGTTATAATTTTAAATTGTTTTAATAGGGTTGCTGATTTTAATTTTTATTTCATTGTGATTTGTATTGGAAATTGTCATTTTGTAAGCCACCTTGAGTCCCCAGGGAAAAAGGCGGCATATAAATCGCAATAATAAATAAATAAATAAGATCTTCACTGTCTCATTTTTGACAACTTTTTCCACTGTATGTTCCCATGACTTTTCGGACACAGGTAAAGTGTATTTTTTACATAATGACCAGTGGATTAATTTAGCAACTCGATCATGTTTAGCTTTGTAATCAGTTTGTGTGATTTTGCTGCACTCACATATTAAGTGTGAAACAGTTTCAACTTTGTCATTACAAAGTCAGCAGTTTAGATTGTTAGTGGATGTTTGTATCTTTGTATCTTTAGTTTGTAGTGTTTGTTCTTGAGCAGAAAGTATTAAACCTTCTGTTTCTTTCTTGATGGTTCCCATCTTAAGCCATGCCCATGTCAAGTTCTTATCACATTTTTCTTCAATGTTTTTCAAGTGCTGTCCATGCAAAGCTTTGGTTTTCCAACCATTTAATCTGTTTTTCCTTATATTCTGCCTTTGTTTCTGTTGTTTTTATAATGTTTTCATAGGCTGCAGCAATTTTTCTGTACTTTGGTTCACATAATCATTCAAACTTCGTTTTTCTTCTTCTACAGTTCAATGGATTTGCAATAGCCCTCTGCCACCTATTGTTCTTGACAGTTACAACCTGTCAATGTCACTTCGTGGATGTAAAGCATGGTATGTATTCAAAAGTTTACACGTTTTCCGGTCCAGGTTTTCCAGTTCAGCCATAGTCCAGTTGATGATTCCAGCTGGGTAGCGTATCACTGGAACTGCCCATGTATTAATGGCTTTAATTATGTTTCCAGCATTCAGTTTTGATTTTAATATTTTGCGGACTCTCCTGATGTATTCCTTTTGCGTTGACTCTTTGACTTTTCCATTTAAGATGTTATCTGCTTCCAATATGCCTAGGTATTTGTAACTGCCATTGTTTGCTAATGCTTTCACGATGCTTCCATTTCACAATTCTATTCCTTTTATTTTTTCCATTTTTCCTCGCTGCATCGGTAGTATAGCACATTTTTCAAGTCCAAAGTTCATTCTAATGTCGGTGCTGAACAATTGAACTGTGTTGAGTATTGATTCAAGTTCAGTGGGGTTTTTCGCATACAGCTTTAAGTCATCCATGTATAGTAGATAGTTTATCTTGCCATGTTGGCTTGAGATTTGGTAACCCAGTTTTGTTTTTCGCAGGATTATTTTCAGTGGAACTAATGTGATGTTGAACATTAGTAGCGAAAGTGAGTCCCCTTGGAAAATTCCTCGTCTGATGTTGACTTCACCAATGTTCTCCCCATTTGCTGTTAGGACTGTTTTCCATTTTTGCATATTTGCTTTCAAAAATGTATGAATATTTTTGCACATCATCATCATCATCATCATCATCAATGTACTCAGATTACCTTAACAACTCTTAGGTCCTTGGTTAGGACTTGAATTGTTAAGTTTTTACCAGTCCTAGACTGTGAATCCAATTGAAGATTAACCAATAATAATAAGGCTGTACGAAATATGAAAAACAGGTGCATTATAAAATGTGTTTCTAAGAGCAAAACACCCTTCTTCAAAACACTGGCGTATGTGCAACTGAAAAGCCTGGATGACTTGCTTCAAAGGATGTCTCCTGCTGTCTACACGTATGTATATGTATGTTGACAGCTATGTCATGTCAATGTTTTCACATGTATGTGCAAATATCCACAAACATACTTTGAAACACTTTTCAAAGGATTTCAAAGGATTAGCTTCTTTAACATTTTGCGAAGGATACTTCAGTCAAGCTAACAAGGGAACTACCTCTTTCAAATACTATGCAGTGTCTTATAAAATAATATTTCTGAATAAAAATAATCTACGTACAAGATAGATACTAATGGGGTGAACATAACAATGCTTGCTTTAATTAAAAACAATTAGTATGTGTTTATATGTGTGTTTAATGGTTCTCTAAAATGCAAGGGCCTGGAATGCTGCAGAAACATTTTCTCTATAATCACTAAGTCATAACACGAAAACCACAACTGAAAAAGCAGAATCTTTCCCAGAGTTTTATGTCACTTTAAAATTCTGCATACTTTAGAATTCTGCGTATCAGCAGTTTATGTTGGCTTTGTAACAGGCCAGTAACTAGTGCAGTTCCCTAGCAATAGTATGTGGGTGGTAAGCAACCTAGCCATTGCATTCAGCATTGTTTGAAGCTTCTAAATCAGTCTCAAGAACAACTTCACATAGAAGGCTATGCCCTTATAAAAATTAAGAGGTAATAATTTAGACATTTGTCACTATATTTTATTCATCCAGCCATGATACTTACTGATCTAATGCTCATTTCTCTACCTTGACCAAATCTGTCAAAAGATTTAGCTTCTTAAGGAAGACTTAAATATTATAGAAAAGACACTTCATAAAATCAAAATAGCAGTCATGTGGAATGCTACTGGGAACAGTACAGTTGAGCTAAAGTGCTTGAAGATGTTCACAGATACAGTAGCACTGCTTTAGTGGAAAGGCATGCTCACTAACAATATTGACAAAATATGTTAAACTACAAGTAAAACTGTTTGAACTGCAATGGAATAATGAAATATTCTACTCATCCATACTATTCAAATGTAAAAAAACAAAAACAAAGCAGAGGAAAGCTCCCCAAAGAATTTATAGCCTCTCCCTACTTCTCAAAAATTATGCACCAATTTCAAAATGTTTACTGAAAAGAGAAAAATGTTTTAGTAGAATTTATCATGTAACCTGCAATTAGTGCTGGGAAACAGGACTTCCTTTAATTGCTTTTAAGTTTGGATTCTATCTGTTCTTCGTACTAATGACTGCCACACTTCTTTTAAAATTATTTTCCCCTTTCAGGACACTCACCTTCACAATCAGGATTGAAACATTCATAAGAATCCCGGCAAACCAAAGAATCTGAGCTGTTATAGTCTACTATTATTCCATGGACATTTTGTAGATATTAATATCCTGAAATATTGAACAATATGGATTCACTGAGGACACTAATGCTCATTATGAGTCTTTATATGAGAAAATATGGTTCAACCGAATGAGGTGTGTGTGTGTGTGTGTGTGTGTGTGTGTGTGTGTGTGTGTATCACTTCCAACAGATGCTCTGGATATAAGTTATTTCCCAAATCGAGCTTTCTATATGTGAAAGAGCTACCTCTACAAAAATAAGAAGCCGTTTTAGAAAAAAGAATAAACATATTTGATAAACATACTTATTGTTTAACATAAAGTGTTAAATACCTCTTAGTATTGATTTCTGCAGACTAAAATCAGATCTAAAATGGCAAATCAGTTACTGAAAAACTGCACAGAATGCATCTTAGAAACTGATTATTTTTAATAGTAACTAAACTTTCTCACTTTGCTATTGGCATAATTCTACATTTTAACAAGGAAACAGACTAAAATTACTTTGGATACTAATCCTTAGGCTTTTGCTTCTTCTCTTCCTGTCCAACTCTGTATCATATCTCTGGAAGTGAACTGGTATGCAAAGTATAATAAAAATGCTGGTATAGAATTGCTCAATCCAAACTTGAATATATTCACAATTCTATATCTTTGCATATGGAAAAGTAACACGAGTTGCATGAAAATATGTAGATCATACCAATCCAAAAGTGATTTAACTTATAATTTTTCCCATTTTTTCCCCAATAGAAAAAGAATAGAGAATAGAATAGAGAAATAGGCTTTCCATGTTTTGCCACAATGCAGAATCTTTCCAGATAAGATTTAACCAGCAATTCTCAGCAGGGGCAGATAAAGTAGGCAGAGAGATAATACGCTTTAAATCATTGGATATAGGTAATTGTGCCTTTTTCAACAAGAATAAGAAAAGAATCAAGCATGTTTCTAAGCAGATATAGTATAGAAAAGAATGGTGTGGTAGCAACTCTCCCCTCTTCTCCACAGTGATTTACAGGGAAAACAATATTCTCATCCCTTATACTGCTTCCATTGGACTGCCACCAGGCTAAGAATTTTCCTTGGAATTTTATGTTTGAACAAGATTAAGAAACTGTACTTGGGGGAAAAAAATGTAGACACAAGTAAACCAGATCTTAGATTATAATTGTAGTTCTATGATCCTCCTTTGACTAAGACATTGAGAGTAGCTGAAGTAAATTTTAGATCATATTTTACTCACCTGGATTTTTTTCTGGGGAACTCGAAAACACCAATTCAACTCTTCCATTTTCAGGAAAATGATCATCTATAAAATAACCACAGCAGAAAATAGTTCTGAAAAATCAGGGATCTTATGAAGTACATACAAAATAGAGTTGCATGAATATCAGACATGAAAATAAAATCCCAATTCTACATTCTGACTTAAAAAATCCATGACATTTTCATTGAAAAGAGCTTAAGTCAAAACTAAATCATATATTTAATTTGACAAAATTTGGATCTCTATTTTATCTTTTTAAAATTCCTTTTAAAAGGAAATAATTGTTTTCTGAATTATTGCCTGAACAAGAAATAGAACATAAGAAGCTGCCTTAATAACAATAGCAATAGCACTTAGACTTATATACTGCTTCACAGTGCTTTACAGCCCTGTCTAACCAGTTTCCAGAGTCAGCATATTGCCCCCAATAATTTGGATCCTCATTTTACCCACCTCGGCAGGATGGAAGGCCGAGTCAACCTTGAGCCTGGTGAGATTTGAACTGCCAAATTGCAGGCAGCTGCCAAGCAGCAGAAGTAGCCTGCAGTACTGCATTCTAACCACTGTGCCACCACGGTTAGAACAAGGTATCATAATGATCTTAAACCAAATAAACTCCAAGCTCTATAATAAAGCTGCCTGGTACTAAATTTAGCTTGGTATTGTTTACATTTTGTATAACACAATTCTATATTCTTTGACCATCTTGAACTAGTCTTCTGCAAGCCATAAAGAAATAAATGGAAAATACATAATAGCACTGTTATGTGTTTACACTCGTGTTCATTTCAGATAGGCCTCCAAATCCTCCCCCCAAATGACAATGATATGATAGTGATACAAGTTGTTCATAAAGCATATATTCAATTCTTCATCTAGTACCATGTTTGTTTAGTAAAAAAATGTGCTTGCCAAACATGCCAACTGCAGGAAGGAACAAAAACCATAATAAAACCTAATGGACAATTATGGTTCTTCCTACCGTATTCATTCTATTTAAAAACAAAAGTAGTCTCTTTCTCCCTCTAGAATGAATAACTAATGGTTCTAGTATGGTCATTTAAAAAAACTATTTTCAACTATAATTGAGATTTCATATATAGCTTTTATAAATTCTTAGATTTTTTTTTGTAAATTTTATTCAACTCTCTGTATATCATACTACTTTCTGATCATACATATTCCATCTATATATTGCTACAAATCTCCTGCTATTTGTGAGAGGAGGATCTGATGTCACAACAAAATGGTCGGAGGATTCCTGGGCTCCAGGATCGCCGTCAAAAACCCCACTGCCGGACGGTCCTTTTTGGACTTCACAGTCTTGTTTTGCCTGTGATAGTGGAGAGCACATCCTGACGATCCCAGGGACACCACAAAGTCCCTGGTTGTTCTGGCAGAAGCCTTTTTTCTAGCGGCGGGGCGGCAGCCATAGTAGCTGCTGAAGTTGGGACAGCTCCAGAAGAAGAATAGAACAACAGTGAGTTGATACAGTGAGACACTTTCAATTTAAATCAATATAAAAGAACACCCTGAGATTGAAGTGGAAATTAAATCAGAGATAAAAGGAAATTAAGTGGCAAAATTAAGCTGGAGTGATTCTTTATTTTTAAACCATTTACACTGTAGAGCTATAAATCTTTGTTTTGTCTTTGACCGGGACTGAATTGAAAAGGACTGTCAGAATTGAGAGTTTTACATTTTTAAGCCTTTGTGCCTTTTATTTAAAATATTTTACTTTAGGGATTTAATTTTTTTTCCTTCTCTTTCTGAAGATTGTTTTAAATTTCCATTTTTCATTTTACTGACAAAGAACTCTTGGATTATATTAGAGGGGAAGAAAGGAGAGTGTGAAAAACTGCCATCTACTGGACTGGAAACTTTGTTATTTTTTTTTCTACTGAAGCAGCAAGTTGAAACAATTGTATTATATTATTGCTACAACCCAAGGACTCTGAACTTTCTTGCTGATAAGATAGTTGGAAGCACATCTGAGGAAGTTGAAACTATCTGTATTGTTTACTCAGGGGAACTATCAGAAGTAGGAGTCTGAGGCAGAATGAGAGAGATCTGTTAATGTTTGGGCAGAAATACTACAGAAGAAATTGAAATCTTTTTCTTTTCTTTCTTTTTTTTTGTTGTTGTTCCTGTTAAGTGATAACTCTCTGTATGCTTAAAATATCTGCTTAAAATATCTCTGATGGACTTTTCTTTCTTTGTTCATATATAACCAAGTTGGATTAAGGTGTACAAGTGCCTGAAGATTGATTTTTGATTTTATTTTTCTCTTTGGTTGGCTATTTGGCTTTTCTTTTCTTTTTTTCCTTTTTAAATTTGACTTTCCTTTAGCTTATTTTTATTGACATTGGGATTAATTTAAGTCTTTCTCAAAGTGGATTAGGGTATTGAAGAACCTGAAGAATTGTTTATTTTCCCTTTTTCCTCCTTTTTCTTTTTTATATTCTCTTCTTTTTTGGCTTTTTCTTTTTTTCTTTTTTCTTTTGTTTTGGCCTTTGGTGACTACTGGAGAGAATGAGTAGAAAGGTAATGGGAGTTGGATCCTCTTCAACTATGCCCTCCTCGTCGCCATCTGGAGGACAATGATCAATTCAGACGATGCTTCAGCAGGAGAAGGAGAAAGAAAAAGAGAGAGAGAAAGATACAACACTACAGCTGATTGTCCAAACAGTCCAGAGAATGGAACAACAACAACTCAAGACAGATGAAAAAGTGGCGAGTATACAGCAAATGATGTTGAAATATGAAGAGAGTGCAAAAACTTGAGAAAAATGAGGAGCAAAAGGAGGAAAAAATTAAAGATATAGATAATAGATTGGGAGAAGTTGAACGTGACAGGAGTGGACTAATTGGATGGGATATGGACAGATCAGAATTTTATCTCAGATTTCAAAATGTAGAAGAAGAGAAAGGAGAGAATCTGGCAAAAATAATGATAGGAATTTTGGCTGAAGCACTAGAAATTACCAAGGAGAAAATAATGGATGGTGTGGATGAGATATATCAAGTTCACACCAGGTATGCAATGCACAACAAGTTACCGTGATAAGTGCATATAAGGTTTACTAAGAAATCAATTAAAGGACAAATACTGCAGACGCCAGAGAAAAAACACTGAAGTAGAAGGATAAAGAAATTTTGGTTCTGAAGCAAATACCAAGAAAAGTGAGGGAGATGAGGAGAGAATATCAATTTTTGACCAAAATATTACTTCAAAAAGGTGTGAACTATGAATGGCTGATACCAGAAGGATTAGTGTTAATGTGGCAACTCCAATAGATACAATAGACAAAGCGAAAGCATTTTATGCAGAATTTTTTAAAGAGAAGGAAATGGAAATGGAATTTCAAATGAGAGTAGTGCCAGTAAAATTTCAAGAAGAGGAATTAGCAATGATTAAAAAAACAGAAGGCGCAGTAGGAGGGATTGCGGAGCACAAAGAACAGCATGAATTAAGATCAACTAGAGCAGTAAAGCTTGCATATAAAGTATGAATATGGAAGAGAGAAAATTGATTTCAATAAACATAAATGGACTTAATTCAATTGTTAAAAGAAGAAAGGTATTTCACAAATTAGAGAAATTAAAATTTGATATAATATGCCTACAAGTAGTACATATTAAAAAGCAACATGAACCAAGTTATTGGTACATCCAAAATTAGGGAAAATCTTCACATCATTGCCACAATGTAAAAAAAGAGGAGTGGTTTTATATATTAGAAATGCAATACCAGTTGAGCAAATATATCCAGACGATGAAGGAAGAATTCTGATAGTGGAGATAATAGATAACAATATGAAAGTTCTTTTAGTAGCAATGTATGCTCCCAATAATATTCAAAGTGACTTCTATAGAAAATTGCACATGAAAATAATTGAATTGGAATATGATAATATCTGTATGATGGGAGATTTTAATGGTATAGTGGATGAAAATTTGGACTATAAAACACATAAAACAATAAGGCACAGTAGAAAGATACTACCGAAATCTTTTTTTAAGTTGACTGAGGAAATAAACTTAAAAGATGCATGGAGAGATAGAAATGGAAAAAACAGACAATATACTTTTTATTTTGACAGACATTCATCTTGGTCTAGATTAGATATGATATGGACAACAATGGAATTGACTTTGAAAGTAGAACAAATTGAGATAGAAGCAAATACCTGGGCAGATCATAATCCAGTGATAGTGAAATGTAAAGGACAAAGGAGAAGATTTAGATGGACTTTAAATAATATTATATTAAAAGAAAAGGACTTTGTACAGAAAATGGAAAGAGAATTGGCTTTCTTCTTCAAGGAGAATAAGAAAGAAGATACATCGATGCAAAATCTTAGGGACATGATGAAGGCCTATGCCAGAGGTTTGATAATGGACTATACAAGGAAGAGAAATGTTAAGAAAAGACAATTGGGACTTCTGGCTTCTCAGAAGTAATTGTCCAGATTGATAAAAAAATGGAAGAATTTAGTTTAGAAGTAGAGTCTAAAATGAAGGAAATTGATTATAAGATGTATAATGTGGACAATAGAATGCAAAGGATTGAAAATGAAGTAACAATGATGCAATTCAAATTTATGGAATCTGCTGTAAGACTGAGGGGGATAAAGGAAAACAACAGAGATTTGAGAAGGATTTGTGCTGATGCTTTGGCTGTGATGTTAAAGGTTAGCTCTGAAGAGGTTTTGTCTAAAATTGACAAGATTTATAGAGTGAATTCTTGGGTGGCAAGGCAAAGGCAATTGCCCAGAGATGTAGTGATATACTTTACAGATAAAAGAATAAGAAATGACATTTTGCAAAAGTCTTTTGTTTCTACCCTACAAGTGGATGGAAGGCAGATTGGGATTTACAAAGAGTTGCCGCCTAAGATGCTAAAAGACAGAAAAGACTTTGGATTTTTGGTGACTGAACTAAAGAAACAACAGATTCCATATAGATGGGATGTCCCAGTTGGCATAAGATTGACGTATCAAGGAGAAAGATATCGATTAAATACTGTTGAAAAAGCGGAA